TTGTAAGCTGATTAATCGCTCCTAAAAGTGAAATAACAACACAACATTGCATAAATTTTCATCAACAAGACAAAAACACAAAATTGTCACAAGTTTACCTTTTGTGGCTCCTTGTAGAGTCATGGACTTGAGTGAGACAAAAGCTGATACGGATGAAGTGAACACAACGCTCCCTGTTTTTGATGCTTTGAGCAATGGGTGCGCAAGTTGGCAGATGTGAAAAACCGATTCAAAATTTGTTGACATTAGTGTCGTAAATTCTTTGGAGGTTAATTCCACCATCGGCTTCCTAATGTTTGTCCCCACGTTGTTTACCTACTAATCAACCCAAGGAAGTCATAGTTATTGTTTCCTTTTGATTTAATCTAAAAAGAACGACTTAACATAGAAATTTGGGAAATTTACAAGTATATAAAGCTTTCCATCAAACAAGCAGGAAACATCGTTCATTAACTTTTCACGATCATGTTGTAAAGATACATCACAGACTGAACCAGTGATCTCAAAACCCTTATCCACCCAACCCTTCAAACAGGTATTTAGTTCAGATTCATTTCGAGCACAGGTGTGTACAGTTGCCCCATGCTCAGCCAATTCCTCCACAATCGCATGCCTGTGTTCAGAGAAAACAAAATCCTACACCTAATCAGGACTCCATCAGTATAGTTTGTCTATTTTGTTATCAGACATTTCTTCGAGCACGTTCGAATAGTCAAAAAATTCCATATAGACTTCGAATTTTAAAGCATGGCATGCGTATATGCAATATTGAAAATACCCAAATCGTACTTAGGGTTCCAAGCATAAATCGCAATTTATTTATCCAATACAAATATCAAAATCGTATCATATGTAAGAGGAGGAATTTGTCTGTGTACCCAATTCCCCTGGTACCACCAGTAACAAGTGCTGTCATCCCTTGAAGAGACCATCTGTTTGAATTATTTTGATTGAGGGAGGCATGAACGCTTCGGTACTTGGGTCTAATTGCGGGTTTGATTGAACTAGTTGAGCCATATGGGGAGCTTGAAATTTGAAGCTTTCTGAAGATTAGCAGAGATGGTGGTGAGACGAATGCATCGCTCATGACTACGCAGATTGGGATTATGGAGGGAAGGAGGAAGCTTTTGTGCGTTTCAAATTTCAATTAGTTTATCTTTATGCAATGAGTTACATGTATTAAAACGAAAGCAAGAATCTACGGTTTGTCTCCAACCTCCTATACATCGTATGTACGCCA